AGAAACTGAAGTTGGGATCCGAACCCCATCCTACTTCATATAGCCTGGCATGGTTGAGACGAGGTAATGAGATTCGTGTTACTAGACGTGTGCTGGTTCCTTTTTCTATTGGCAGTGTGTATCGTGATAGTGTTTGGTGTGATGTGGGGCCTATGGACGCATGTCATCTTTTGTTAGGACGTCCATGGCAGTTTGATAGGGAAGTGTGTCATGAGGGGCGTCGGAACGCGTATACGATCACCTTTTCAGGTAAGAAAATTATACTACTACCCTCCAAGGATGCTCATTGTGTCTCTTCGGCAGGGGACAGTAGTAATTTACTTTCCCGATCTTTGTTTGTGCGTGAGATGTTGGCGAAAGGTATTGTGTTGTTGCTGGTGGGAATTGAGGCAACGGGAGTGTCAGCAGTTCCTATGGCAGCCGAGGGGGCGGGTCTTCTCCCCAAAGCTGCCGCCTTAATATCCGAGTTTCATGATGTCTTTCCAGAGGACCTTCCTCAGTGTCTTCCTCCTTTGCGGGATATACAACACCAAATTGATCTGATACCTGGTGCATCACTACCAAACCGCCCGCATTATCGAATGAGCCCTGCCGAACATGAGGAGTTGAGAAGACAAGTAGAGGAGTTGGTGCAGAAGGGGTATATCAAAGAAAGCCTCAACCCGTGTGCAGTCCCTGCGCTTCTAGTGCCAAAGAAAGATGGTAGTTACCGGATGTGTATAGATAGCCGAGCTATCAACAAAATAACAGTTCTATATGTGGAGGAACAGGCGATTGCATATTTGGAGCGCTTGGATTGTCTGCGCTCAAAGAAAGTGACATAACTTTTGCATACGGTGTCCGTTTTGGGCCCATAACCCCATTTCGGAAAGCTCGCGATGATTCGGATGGAACTCACTGCTTTGCCGTGACATATGATGGATTTTGGGCGTTTGACGTCGTCTTCCTAGTCAAAACAGCATTTTAAGTTTCGTAGTTCGTTAATTTTAATGTTTATTTGTTTTGCTCTGTAGCCCAGCCCATTTACGGACTGTTGGCCCAGTAGGTTAACTGTTTTCTTTCATATTTAAGGCTCTCCAAACGTTTGAAGGTTTTTGGTTGTTCAAGAAATAAGAAAAGGCGTGAGTTTTCTTAGAGAGCAATCCATTTTCAATTTATTATTGTTTGGTTTGTAGTTTCGAACTACATCACTTACAGTAAAGGGAAATTGAATGAAGTTACTGGGGGTCTCTAACAATTCACTTAGTGCTGGTGCAACGGTCCTAAACATTAATATATTTTTTTCACTACTTAAAAGGACAAAAGCTGGAAGCTTAAATTCAATAAAAAATAATGTAAGAGACACAACTGCTATTCTGGATGATATTTTTCCGTACCTAACACCAACTATACGTTGAAATTCTTCTTCCATGGAGCGAACCATATAGCTGTGAAAATCATATTTTGAAGTAAGGTTGTGATTCTGCCATAAATAAGAAACAAGAGATGTAAAGTGTGATTTAACATGATGTTCCCACAATAATTATTCATCAACAGAAACAAATCTTGTGATATGTTGAGTAAATGAATATCAATAAATTTTTTTTACATTTTTATATTCAGGATATATAGATGATAGAATGCTTCCAACAGGCACATTATAGGAATATGATCGCTAAAATAGCTGACAAATTAGGAATTAATCTAGTGCCATATGCACAATCAAATGACTATACAGTGGCTGATCTGGAGAGGCAGGAAAAGTGAAGGATCAGATATTTATTACAAAAAAATAAAAAGACAAATATCATACTAGACAAGAGCCAATGTACTGATATTTATATAGCTTACATATCTCCATGCCAAACCTAACCCACCAGGTTAATAGAGAGTGACAACGGTCCAATAAGTGGGATAAAGTTTGTCAAACTTATAAGTGATATCCTGTTGCCGTAAATTATGCTGTTGCGATGTGAGAAAAATTTCTCGAAGAAAAAAGTCTCAAATTTCTAGTGCAATTCCACTTAAAAATACATAAATACGAAGCCAAATTCCCATTAATGCTCGAACGAATACATACTGTGATGAATCCTTTGCGGAGTGAAAGGTAATCTGCCCGGACCACTGAACGCCCAAACTGCCGAAAGAAACAGGTCTGCAACAATTAAAGAAAAGCAGTTTCAGTATAAAATTAACTAGATCATCTTTACTTCAAGCATCAAACATCAGAAAGATATTAAACAAGATGCGTAATTCAAAAAGAAAGGACAACGGAAAGATAGCCAGGCAACCATGTAATTTGGTTGACTAAATCTTGGAACAAAGATATATTTTTGCTATATAATTATAAACAGTCTGATAGAAGTGAATTTACCGCCCAAATGAGGATGCTATGCCTGGCCGTAGGAGTTGATGTATAAACCCTAACAAAGGTAGATTGCCTTTGCATTGTTTTTGCACTTGTGATTTCTGCAACAAAAATTAGGTTGCTGACGAATTTACTTGGTTCAGATAATTATTCATTACACTAAGTACAACATACTTTCCAGCCAAAATTAGCCGCATGAACTCTCCAACATTGTTGGTCCACGGAGAAATCTAAAAAGCCTCCTAAGGGGTAGGAAATTCTGCCTCTCCTGTCTTGTTTATATGTTCAACAATATCTTAAAATTTAAACCTAATTAAGGCCCTAACTTCAAAAGGAATTGGCATGATCAAACTACTAGATTATATTCCTTTCACACTTCAACTGGATACGGCTTCAAGGCATTTTTGTAGATATTCTTGCACTTAAAATAATCGTATTTCAGTGTTGAATATTAACCACTTGCATCATTTTCATTGTCCCTTATAGCTGAAACTGGGTTCTAAAGGGATTCTTGTCTTCCTTTCAAGGTTTGCTAACAAACAAATTTGAAAATGGTTGGATTTCCAGTGATAGTTAACAAGTTTAAACATCATGCCAAAAAAGTAGCTAGTCTCAAATTACCAGTTAATGAATCATGTCTGTCCATGTGAGCCTCGTCCTCCCATACTCTCCAACTGTGAATCTGCAAATACAGTTCGCAACGATAAAATTAAAATGGAAAAATAACTAGAGAGAGAGAGAGAATGAAAAAATGATGGGAAGGATGTGGCCTTCAAATCATTTTAGTCAATTCAGCGAAAATTGACAATAACACAAAAGCATAAAGTAACCCGTAAGAGTTTATCTCATCAGGCAATATTAAATGCCATAGTAGTCATCTTGGAACACTGGCAGCACACAATGATTCTTTTAACATGTATTCGATTCATAATAATGGGAAGAAATTGGTGCAAAGACCAGATATATTATACGACTTCTAAATCAACATCTTAAGTAGAGACAAACACTAGTAACATGAGGGGATTAATGAACATATATTCAGCTTTCTCCTTATTGGATAAGTACAAACTATTAATGTATGTCTTTATAATAATTAACATTTGTAGTGGAAAATGATGAAGGAGAAGATTATAGGAAAGACAAAAATCTCACAAAAAGAATTTCAATCGTAAGAAATTCAAGAAAAAACTTTCTTTCATCCAAAACTGAGCTGCCTCAAAGGGCTTAAAACGTTTAAATAGCGAAACCCTAAGAAAATTCGGAAAGAAATCACCTAATAATAAAAAAAATATTATTTTTTTCCCAAAATGGAAAAAAATTGAGATAATGACGGATCTTGATTTTCCTAATCATTAGGATCATTCCCCCAACAAACGGAAATCAAATTTGAATTTATTTGACTAAGATATTGCCAAAACAAAAATTACCATAAACAGCAAAAATACTTAATTGAGGGCCTAAACGATGGAATTTGCCGAAAAGTTGACGTGCATCAGGGCCAAAGGCCCTAAGTTGTGATAATTGGCCCGTTTCCAATCAAATTAGACTAGCAATTCGCCAAAAACGAACAAACCCGAAATTAAATGAAATTATTATTTTGCCTTCATCATTTTCCA